CAATTTGTACATTTTTTCTTTCAATACTGATTCTGCTCGTGATTGAGTCCTTGAAAACGGACCATGACATATTGTTAACAAACCTTTTATACTTAGAAAGTGGGAACCAAACATGCAAAGACTTGAGCTTGACTTATCTTGTCTGCCTATCTGGGTTCACTTGTTTAATGTGCCTTTAGAATTATTCTCTAAAGAGAGACTTAGCTACATAGCAAGTGCAATAGGGATACCACTAACTATGGACTCTTATACTGCTGCTAAAACCCGACTCCACTTTGCTAAAGTATGCATAGAGATAAGAGCTAAAGAGAAAATCCCTGAATCCATTGAAGTTATCCTAGAAAATGGCCTTTCTACTACTATTTATGTTGAAGCTCCTTGGTATCCTCCTAGATGTATCAAATGCCAATCCTTTGGCCATACTGATAAAGGTTGTTTTATTGACTCTTCAACTGCTCCACAAACTTCAAAAATTTGGAGAAAGAAAACTTCAACTTCTGAGAACTTTGAGGCTAAAACTACTGAAGTTTTAGAAGCTCAACTGCTTGAAGCTTCTTCATCTAAAGAAAGCATTAATCCCAAAGATTTAGAGACTGACTTAGGAGTTGCTTCAATTCCTGAATCCTCATTAGGACACTCTTCTGAAGGTGAACCTTCAAATCTCCTCCCCATCAATAATAGTGATACTAATTCTATGGACCAGAGCTTAGTTTCCAGTGAAATTTCTTACTCTATAAACTCTTCTAAAGGTGAACCTCCAAATCATCTTCCTATCCTTAATTATGAGGAAGTCACTAAGGATCAGAACCTAGCTCCTAGTGCTAATTCTGATAAAAGAACCAAGTCTGTTCTATCCCATGCTTCAAATGATAATGGGACCCCTCCTTTTCCTAAGCGAGGCAGGGGCAGACCACTCAAGGTTAAAAATAAATCAGTGATGAGAGGCTCAGCTAATTGTTTTGAAATTCTAACCAAAGTTGATGAGGAATCCCCATCATCTGAGGTTTAATTAAAAAATCCTAGGCCTACTGCTTCTGGAGTTGCCAAATTAATCAAGGAACTTAAGTCAAAAAAGAAAGATCAATTAACTAAGTTCACCAGTACCTCAGACAGAGCTTCAGAGGATTCATCATTCTCCCTTCTTCAATGATTATCTGCTTTTGGAATATAAGAGGATTTAATAATCCTCAAAAGCAGAATAAAGTATTAAACAAAGCTAGACTGTATAATGTTGATGTCATATGCTTGTTGGAAACTCGGGTCAAAGCTGAAAACTCTCAAAAAATTCTTAATTCTAATTTTAGGGATTGGAATGCTATCACAAACTATGACTATACCTTCAATGGCAGAATATGGTTTCTTAGGAAGAAAGGAATTGATCTTTCTTTCTGCCATTCTTCAGCTCAATGTATATATGCTAAATGTTCTTTTAATGATTCCCCCTTTTTTATCACTGCTATATATAGTAGTAATTGTGGTTCTACTAGAAGACTTCTTTGGCAAACCCTCAGAGAACTTGATCCTCTTTTTGGTTCCTCTCCTTGGATCCTTGGCGGAGATTTCAACATTTTCCTTGACTCCAAAGAAAGCTCTAATTTTGATCTCCTTGGACCTTACCTCTCATCTGATATGATGGATTTCCAAAATATAATTCAAGACCTTTTCCTGCAAGACCTCCCTTATTTTGGCCCAACATTCACTTGGAACAAAAAACAAAAGGACTCATTCCTTGCAAGAAAACTTGATAGAATTCTTATAAATTCTCATTGGGCTACCACTTTTTAGAATTCTTTTGTTGAATTCACTTCCCCTGGACCTTCTGACCACTGTATGGGTCTGATTTGGACCAATAAAGAGACTCATACCAACATACCAAAGCCTTTTAAAATTTTCAACTTCTGGTCCTCTCACTCAAACTTTCTTGAAGTTGTTAATTTTTCCTAGCAGCAGCCCTGTTATGGCAATCCTATGCAGAAATTATTCACCAAGGTTAAACGTCTTAAGCCTAGTCTGAAGAACTTAAATAAAAATCACTTTAGTGATATTTCTGCTAGAGTTAGACAAAAGAAGACTGAGTTAGAAAAAATTCAAATTGACACTCTCAATGGTATTTCCTCTATGGAAAAGGAATTCTTAACTCAGATGAAACTGAATGATCTTGAAGCCTCTGAGTACCTGTTTCTAAAACAGAAAGCAAAAATTCAGTGGATTAAAGAAGGTGATAAATGCTCTAAACTATTACATTCTGCCATTGCTTCTAAGAATAAAAGAGATACTATCAGAATTCTTGTTAACAATGAAGGTAAAATACTTGAGACTTATGCTGAAATGACTTCTGAAATTATTGATTATTTCAAGATTCAACTAGGCTCTCCTGATCCTAAGGTTATCTCCTCTGATCCTAATTACCTTAAGAGCCTTCTGAACTACAACCTTCCTACTGAAGTTACTTCTGACCTTATTAAACCTGTCACCGATGAAGAGATCAAAGAGGCTTTATTTAATCAAGGGAATGACAAAGCCCCTGGCCTTGATGGTTACACCCCTCTGTTTTTCAAGAAATCATGGTATGTGGTTGGTGAAGATGTTACTAATGTTGTCAAAGTTTTCTTCCTAGAGTCTCATATTACTCCAGATTTCAACTCCACCATAATAGCCTTAATTCCAAAAATTCAAAACCCAAGCAAAGTCAAAGATTATAGACCTATTTCTTGTTGTTATGTGGTGTACAAAACTATCACAAAAATTCTTGTCAAAAGGTTAAATGTTTTGCTGCCAAATCTTATTTCCCTTAACCAAACAACTTTTGTGAAAGGAAGGTCCATCATTGACAACACCTTACTTGCACAAGAATTAGTGAAAGGTTATGGTAAGAAAATTATTTCTCCAAGATGTGCTCTTAAGATAAACCTTCAAAAATTCTTTGACTCTCTTCATTGGGATTTCTTATCTACTATTCTTCAAGCTATTGAATTGCCACTTATCTTCATAAAGTGTACTGAAGCTTGTTTTAGAGAAGCTAGATACTCCATTTCCTTTAATGGAAGTTTGATAGGATATTTTAAAGGTCAGAGAGGTATTAGATAAGGAGATCCATTATCACCAATTTTATTTGTGATAGCAGTGAACATTCTTTCCAATTTACTTAACATTGTTGTTGCTAGAGGATTATTTGGGTACCATCCTAAATGTAAAAAAAAATTGGCATTACCCATTTATCTTTTGCAGATGACCTTTCAATAATCTGCAAAGGCAATCTGGAATATATTGTTGGAGTCATGACTGTGCTTAATCATTTTTATGATTTGTCTGGCCTAAAGCTTAATGTTAGCAAAACATAACTTTATTCTGTTGGTATCTCTGCTAGAAATCTGGATCTTATTAAATCTGCTACTGGGTTCAAGCATGGTTTTTTACCTATTAGATATCTTGGTGTACCTCTTTTCACTAGGAAATTAAATGAAAAAGAATGCTTTCCTCTTATTGACAACATTAAGCACAAACTTCATCTTTGGACTGGAAAATACTTGAGCTATGCTGGAAGACTAGAGCTTATTAAAAATGTTTTATATAGTGTTGTCGACTTCTGGTGTAGGCAATTTATCCTTCCCAGAAAGTTGTTAAACGTCTTGAACAAATCTGCTCTAGGTTTCTTTGGAAAGGTTCTGATATAGTAGCTTTAGGTGCAAGGATCAGTTGGGAAAAAATATGCTGTCCCAAATCTGAAGGTGGACTAGGATTAAAAAATATTAGCTCTTGGAACAAAACTTGCATGGTTTATCTTATCCGGAAATTACTTGCTGGTCAGGGATCTCTTTGGGTAGCATGGATTCACTGTTATGTCATTAAAAGTAGAAGCTTCACTGAAATTAGTGAATGTTCATCTTATAGCTGGTGCTTTAGGAAACTTATCAGACTAAGGAGTGAAGCTTTGCCCCTTCCTAATTCTGGTTTATCGAGGACAAGAGATTTATGGGAGGAACTGAGAGTTCACAAAACTAAGGTTCCTTGGCACAGAATAGTCTGGTTCCCTCTCCATATACCTAAACTCAGTATTATCTCATGGATGGCCATTCATGACAAACTTCCAACACGGGATATGCTTATTAAAATGGGGATTGCTTCTGATGAGTTATGTATCTTATGTAATGAGTTTCCTGAAAACAGAAACCATATGTTTGTGCACTGCACTTATGTTACTTCACAGTGGAATTTTATCTTGAGTTTTTCTTCTTTGAGTAACATGCACATCACTTGGGAATCTAGGATTAATTGGGCTGCTCTGGAATGGAAGGGTAAATCCCTTCTTATTACCATTTTGAAATTAGCATGGACTGCTTTTATCTATTCGGTTTGGAAAGAAAGGAACAGACGAATATTCAGAGGAGAGTCAATATCGATTGATCAAGTTCTAAAGATTATAAAAGACTTTGTCTGAATCAAACTTAGTGACAAGAATCTTAATAGAATTGATTAAGTTAATATTAATCTTTGTAATTATTGGGGTATAGATTAACATTTTTTATTGTAAATAACGTTTATACTCCCATTTGAGACTTGTGTTGTTGTACTTCTTATTTGGACTTATCCAAAAAAAAAAAAAGCAATGGTGAAATCAACCAAAACAATAGAGCCGTCATACCTTCTTATCTATCTACACCGCTACTGATCCATGCCGTTCGATTTGTGATCTCTAATCTGGTAATATCATAGTCAATAGAGAATATTTTACCTTCAATGATATTTTTCCCTTTTCAACAACCAGGCCTTGCACCTGAGACAACCCAGTACCCAGGTAAATCCTGCGGCCCTCTACTCATCTCTGTTGTGTCCACAAACCACAGGAGTATTGGAGCTTGGCTGGGCACTGGAGGGCCCCCGGGAGCAACGCCGAATTTATGTTGACCTCAGTTGGCTGTGGAGCTTGTTTTTTAGCACCCGTGAAGTGAGTGCTGATCAAGGTTGAGATAATCCCAGATTTTTGGCCCAAGCCAGGAGACTCGGGCTGCTTGATGGCCTTTGCACCTATTAACTTAGAGAAATCAACCGTAAGAATAAAACTTTCTTCAAGCCATAGTCTCCAACTTCAAAGTGAGCACCAGTAAGTATAGAGACACCCTCATCACACTCTACAGGTGCCGTGCAGACATGGGAGAAGTTCTTCCACTGAATCTTCTCATAGTACCTGCGTTCAGACAAGGGATCGGAGACACTGGCGCATGCTCTATCCTCAAACTGGAATGTCTTCGGCAGAGAGGAGAGATGCTGCAAGTGAATTGCCAAGCAGTTGCCTCTTTTGCCTTCCAAATAAAGTCGAAGGCCAGTTACGGGCTTTTTATCTGCATAAACCTGTCAAAGGTACTCAAAACAAAGTAAATGAGTACGACATTAGTTATAATGATAGCTTATTGACAGCATCTGTCTGATCAATTTTTAAGGTTGTTATTGTATTGTCTTTCAACAAATTAACAAAATTCACAAACATTTTCTAATTTTTGTTCAAAACAACTTCAAGAGTAATGCTAATTTTATAGGAAAAAAGGAGGAAAAATGTTATTTTCAAGACGGTTTATAATCACCTTAACAATGAAGACAACAGAGTATAAAAAGCACGAAAGTGTAACTTGAAGATGTAAATTACAAACTAAAAATTGAAGAGTAACCCCATATGATAACATTAACCCCAGTTCTACTCCAAAATGAGTTCTATCCATTTAACTAACAACGGGATTAGAGGACATTCTCTTTTAAGATCAAATAACATCACTGGTGAGTCAGAGATTCTATCAAAGGGCGTACAAGGAGGTAAGGATATAATTTTGAGAGACCATCAACGTTTAACTATGCTGGTGGGTATAGCATATTTACTTGGCACAAATATGGCCTGTGATACATCATCTTTTCTATATAATTTGGTTTACATTTAAGCTCCATCATTGGCATGCGCTTAATGTGGCAACTAATGCATTATCATGCCACTCACACAAGCACCAAGACAAATTGTCACATCAAAATGTATGCTTTAGTTTTATCATGCTTAACATTGGGTTCTTATATGGGAAAGGCAGAACAGCAATACAAAAGACTGGGAATATTACCGGTGTTGTGTTAACATAAAGCTTGGTGCCCATGAAGCTAAACTGCAACGATGCACTATTTTGTTGTTTTCTATGAGGACCAAGGGCAAGCTCACCAAATACTGGTGCCCACTGCTTTGGAAGCTGAAACTCCAAAAACTGATGTAGTTCATCAATCGAAGGCTTATCTGTATGTAAAAGGGAAAACCATAAATGGATAGTGGTATACAATTCCTCGATTCCGGAAGCAAATTTTGGAAATACCAACTAAAAGCACAGAACTCATTTATCTTTAATTTATATTTCTTTGAAAATTAAAAATATCTATCACTTTTGCTTCAGAATATATTCTGAAAAATGATTTTGATGTTTATTTAGAGAAGTAGGTGTTAGCTGTTTGCTTACTTGAGAAAGTGATCGGTTTCTTACCGACGCAGGATTATATTTGGGGATATCTTTAACTTTTACATAACAAAAATTACCATCAGATACCAACAAACCATGTAAAGTGGAAACGAAATACAGATTTGATAATGACACAATGCAGGACACAAAACCTGAATAATTAAGTTCCATGAAAAGGTAAGAATGCTTCAATTAAAATATACAGCTGTGATTTTTGTCCATTTCATTTAAACTTATTTCCTCCAAGAAATATAAAAGGAAAAAAAAGGCCTTAAAGTCATATTTGGCACTATATTATGGGTCAATGTGAATCCAGCCACAATTTAATTTTTGGTAATTTTAGGACAAAAATGCAACAGGGAAGGAAAATTTCTGGGAATTTTGCCATATCAGAATATTCCATCTCCAATACTATTCGGAAAGGATCACTTAAAAGTATAATCGAAAGGTATAGGGGCAAATTTGGCCAATATGCCAAAATACAAATCAATCCAAATATCTTAAATAAATAAGGGACTTTCAAGCTAAGAAACAAGCGATAAGAGAATCCCAAAACTGAAATTATGAATCGAAGTCCATGTAAAAGGTCATAAAAGCGTACCATGAATTAGACTAGGCTAGATTCTTATTATTGATTGCAAGTATTATGCTTTGAAATTTATCATATAGAAGCCGCTTAAAAGCAAATGCTACTTGTATCATTCTACATGAGTAAAACTGTTTCATACTAATAGATGACTTGTATCCTAAAACTAATCCTGATACAAAATTAAACACACCCACTGCTCAATATTGGTTTTTTTTATAAGAAATGGAGGCCTCGATAAAAATCTCCTTCATAATTTCTAAAACATCATAGGGAATTCCAGTAAACAGCGGAAGGAGGAAAAGAGTGCCTCAAAATTTATTAATTAAACGAACAGTACAAAGCATATAAGTACAACCAAACTTTTAACCCAGTACAATAAAATCATTGTCTATTTGATGTTTTAGTAGTAGTTTAGGGATAAAACTAAATATTAACCATCGTTGTCATGTCATCAATTTAATCGAGATGACGGTCATTTTATTAAAAATAAAAAATGTAAGTGATCGGTTTGCTATTTTTGAAATTTCAAATGGAGAAAATAAAAAAGTTGTTCAAACATCAGTGATCATTAGTATATTTTACTCTTTTTTTTTAAAAAAGGTTATATCAAATTTATATAACCTTTGTCCCTATAATCGAAACACTAGTATGGGCCTTCTAGTCCTGGTACTTTTATTTAAGTAAATGATTTGCATTGCAAACCATATTTTTGTTTTCCCAAATCTCTATATGAACTTTAGAGATCGGGAATACTATAATTTCAATAAACACACCAAACCAAGTTTGATCTTTCAGCCAAAACGAAAACATTAAAATGGTTGTATGAATGCCAATGGTGACCAAACAACTTTAAAAGAACATCAACACCACCTATAATTACAAGGCATTGAAGTGCAAGCAATTACATTCCTAAAATGTTTCACCAAATCCTTCTACGCAACACAGAACAAAAGAAAAGCAACCCAGTGGCAGTCATAACCAATTCCACCTTTTAACTCAGATTAATTGAAGAGAGCAAAGCAATGGTGAAATCATATAATTCTCGTTTTGAATTAATTCTCAGTTGAACCTTGGGCGCACGTTACGTTCTCTCTGGGTGCACGTTAGCAGGACTAACGTTTCCGGGCTTTCCGTCACGCTGCGTCGCCGGTTTTCTTCCGATCATTAGTCTAGCTTCTAAGATTCATCCACTATTTCCTCTATGGACTGGCGAAAGCTTTTTGGGTGTCAATCTGGGTAAGAACTCACATATTTCCCCCCCAAATCGAGCGAGAAAATCCCAGTTGTTCAGCCTCCATCTGAAGTCTTTGAAGTAGGATCTGCAGAATGAAAATCTTCCCTCGTTAGTCAGTTCTTAGGGGCTGCTCCAAACTTCATCACTCTGCAAAGAATCATTGAGAACCTGTAGAACCAACCTTCGAAAGGGGTTAGGGTTTAGGTAAGTCTCGCAGGCAACAATTTGTACATTTTTTCTTTCAATACTGATTCTGCTCGTGATTGAGTCCTTGAAAACGGACCATGACATATATTGTTAACAAACCTCTTATACTTAGAAAGTGGGAACCAAACATGCAAAGACTTGAGCTTGACTTATCTTGTCTGCCTATCTGGGTTCACTTGTTTAATGTGCCTTTAGAATTATTCTCTAAAGAGAGACTTAGCTACATAGCAAGTGCAATAGGGATACCACTAACTATGGACTCTTATACTGCTGCTAAAACCCGACTCCACTTTGCTAAAGTATGCATAGAGATAGGAGCTAAAGAGAAAATCACTGAATCCATTGAAGTTATCCTAGAAAATGGCCTTTCTACTACTATTTATGTTGAAGTTCCTTGGTATCCTCCTAGATGTATCAAATGCCAATCCTTGGTACAACCAAACTTTTAACCCAGTACAATAAACATAAAACAAAAGACGAGAAAAAACAAAACCCAACCAAAACTTCCTATCTTAACCTATTTCTGCCTTAGCTAATACGCCTGCCTCTAAGTTTGTTGGCCTAGCTATCCAACGTAGAATACCCTCCAAGTTTCTGATCTTATATGCAATTTCTTTAGAAATTGAAACATACATACTTGGGCGTTTATCCAAGTTCTTAGTCCACTCCATACACACTTGCTATCGCTCTCAATAATCAGCCGCCCCTTAGAGAACCAACTAAAAGTTCAAAAAAAAAATTAAGCCATATTTAATGGCCTTCAATTCCATTAAAGGTGGAGGACCAGGACCAGCAGCTTCTTGAAAGGATCCTAGCACTGTGCTGGAGCTATCTCTTAGAATCCCACATATATCACTTGCCTTCCAATCCTTTGACAACAGCATCCACATTCAATTTTAGAAACCCAACAGGGGGAGGGGACCAGGAAATCTGATTTGCTGGCTGACTTTTTAAGACAAAAGTAGGCCTGTAAACGAACCGAACGCACACGAACGAAGGTATGTTCATGTTCGTTCATTTAATAAATAAACAAACATAAACGAACACGAACATAAACGAACAAAATTTTTTTTGTTCATGTTCGTTTATTAAGGAATATAACTTGTTCATGTTCGTTCATTTAATAAATAAATGAACATAAACGAACACGAACATAAACGAACACGAACATAAATGAACACGAACATAAACGAACATAAACGTTGGAGGCCCTACCTTCCATTGTTCTTTCATGAAAAATAGTCGACAATGCAAATCAACCAAATCTACAGTGATAAATAGCGTACGAGCTTATTAGCAGTGATGAAATGTTTGAAGATATCAAATAATTCGATCGATCTTTTAAAGATATTAAAATGATTCACACGACTTTAATTTAACGCTATAACATTTATCTTAGTGTTTCATGATTACATATGAACAATCATTTTTCGTTATTACACTCTTTTTCAGAAATTGCATAGAAACCTTTGTTTTGTTTTCTGGCAAATTCTATATATTTTTCTTTTTACTGATACTCATATACTTCCGATTTTTACATTTATCTTCCCATCTATTTATAGAAAGAAGTATTATGTTTTCTTGAGTTTTAGATGTGAATATACCTACAATAACTTTACATATCAACTATTAAGTCAAATAAAACAGAGAAAGAGATGAAAACAGACCTGTAAAAACTTCATATTGCACTATAATATAACTTGTTTTGAATCTTTCAGAGACCGTCTCCACTCTCCAGTGAACAATAAGGTTTGGGAAAAAAGGGAGAAAATGAATATAAGTGCGAGGTGCCTCACAGGTTAACATATTGGATTTAATCTCCAAATAAAATTGGGTTAATTATGGAGTTAGTCATCAGAATATCAGATTAATATTTTTAAGATACTTACAAATTGGTAACCAAAATTGATTTAAGAAGATTGTGTTAAACATAAATGAATGAACATAAACGAACATAACCAAACGAACATAACCGAACGTTCACGAACGTAAATGAACGAACGAGACCTATGTTCATGTTTGTTCATTTAATTAAACGAACAAAAAATCTTGTTCATGTTCGTTCATTTAATAAATAAACGCACATAAACGAACTTCCCGCCGCACGGTTCATGAACGGTTCGTTGAACGTTCAGTTCATTTACAGGCCTAGACAAAACACAAATCTCCAAGAGAGGGGTCATCAATGAGGAATCCATCGAAATGTGAAAAACAACTGAATCAGATCGAACATGACCTTCTCAAAAACCAATGGCATTCCTACATTTCCAAATCGTCCACATAACTACACCAGGAATAAATCTCCAAATAGTTGAATGAGGCACCAACTCCTCCCAAGCTGAAAGAAAGCAATACACATTTTCATGTATAACAGCTAAAATCTTCCACAAATGCATAAACCTATTCCACAATCTCCACGTAGCAATGCAGGAGAAGAATAAATGCGAAGAGGTTTCTATTTCCAGCTTGCATAGAGGGCACAGTGGATCCAAATATCCCAAGAACACCTCTCTTTATTAATTCAGCCCTCATAGCCAATTTTTGATGAACTACTTGCCACATGAAAGTCTTCACCCTTGGAGGAACCAAACCATTTTAAAGATAACTTTTCCAAAAATGATCTGGATTCGACTCGACGGAGCAAGTTTTTATACAATATCTAACTGAGTAAACACCATCCCTATTTCCTCTCCAAATTAGACCATCTTTCAAATTTTCCACAAGACTTATATTATTAATTGTTACCAATAATTCGACCCACTGATCTAACTCCCAATCACTCAAATTCCTTTTCATCTCTACAAGCCAAAACCAGCCTGAAGCTCCAAATTCACCAAGCTCCAGTAACCTTCAATTTTGATTAGTAGAGAGGGCAAATAGCCTAGGGAAAATT